GGAGCCACCTCAAAGGCTCGCCTGATGATGGTTTTGTCCGGCTGACAAAGAGCCGCAGCTATATTGGAGGTTCGGTTCTGAGTGATTTGCCCACCCCAGTCGGGCTTTGTTTGAGCTTTGCTGAATTGCAGACATGCCCACCCACTCACTCTCTCACCCACTCACTCCCACCCACCCACCCACTGATCCATTCACCTACTTCAGCCACTCACTCACCCACCCACCTTCACATTTATATTCAGGACAGTGGGAAGATCTATGCTCCAGGATTTGGTGTTCGTAGCCACAGTTGCAAACGTGGGAGTGTTCTGTTTTTCCACGTATAAGTTGGGCATACGTGTCCACCCCAAAGGTTCACATCTGTGAGACCCCCCACAGGAAAAGCTTGGGAAAACCTTGAGTCTGTGGGGTGGGGGTGTGGAGGGGGGGGGATAAATAAATCAATAGAAATGTACTTTCACTAACCAAAATAAAACATTGACCAATTTAAATGTCACGTATAAGGAAACATTGAACACAAATCCCTCAGCCGGTCAGCATTGCTGCTGTGTGATACAAATGGCCTGTCAGATCGTCGCACAATGCTGACACTGCCACCACTTTAATATCCCGTCTACAAAGCGCTCGGAGAACAGATCTCCTCACCAGCTTTGATGCCACGACGTAGTCAAATTGACAAGGAATGTTCGCGGAGTGCGCCCCTCCAATTGCAACCAAACGTTGTCCCTTCATAGCTACCCAGCGATAGAACGAGATTGGCAAGATCCCTCGTAGCGCACGTTGCCTGTTCTTCTTATTTATTTAAAAAAACATTTGGGTGCAATTGTGAACAACAGCCATATCAAACATTAGTACATCTAATCGGCATAATCATTAGTTCACTGCAGCTGAAAGGCTCAGTCCCTACGAAGGTGTGCGGTGAAGTTAGGAGATGCCCCGTGTGCTCTGCATTTGAAGGCCTGAAGACCAGAATCAGTGATTTTGTTGACAATGTGCTCGTGGAGGCAGTTCCCTATCCGGACAGGAGAGTGAAGGAAGCTTCTGTCCAGGGAGCAATGTTCTAGGAGCAGCAATCAGGGAATTACCCCTCGACCCTTCACATCCACGCGTTGTTGTCATTGTTGTTGCTGTTGTTCAACTGGTGCCGTTTACCGTGGTGATCAACCCTCTGAACGTGATTCGGCTCTTGGAGGCTTCGTTTCCCCCACTGGACGGCTGCATCGGCTCCATCAAAAGCCGAGGTCTGGCCATCGGATGCTCACTTCTGCATCCTGAACCTGGATAATCTGTGTGTCGATCCGTTCCAACGGTTTGGATGACATCTTGAAGCTCCAGTCCCTTGCACACAACCTGCTCTCGGCTCCTTGGTTCACGAATGTCATTGAAGCACATGTGTGGTTCACAGCGGGATACAGGGGCTGTCTCGTGGCAGTCATGGGGGAGAAAAGAGATGGGTCACTGAATGAGTTTTAACACCCCCCCTAACCCGAGATAGTTGTGATTAGTTTCCTCCTCTTTTCTCATAGAAAGGCTGTCGGTAAATACTAAACTTTTTGGATCCGACCCTTACATGAAACCCGAATAATCGGCAGCAGCTGCCAGGGAGACGCTGCAGTCAATAGGGTTGAGTGAATTATTTTATAGTGAACTATTTTTTGTGAACTATTTACACGACCATGAGACACTCAGAACTGTGAAAAACCCTCAGGCATAATCCTCGTGTATGATCAGGTAATTGGCTCGCCTTGTGACAGCAGAACGTGCGACCATCGACCAACGGAATGAGGCCTGCCGGAGCCAAGTGGATGGACCAGCGAAGTTCCCTGTGTTCACCGCCCGTCCTGGCTCCGTGGGCTTATGGTGACCTCGGATTGTTAATTGACCCTAAATGCAGCAGCAGTAGCAGCAGCACTCGCCTCAATAGCGACAGCATTAACAGAAACATATGTATGGTAGCAGCAGTAAAAGCAACAATATCAGTTGTAGCAAAATATGTCGGTAAACTCAATAATTTAACACGTAGAATTTTGCGACCAATATTATCCATAAGAGCTTTTTTTGGGTTAGATCGCTTAAATATTAACGTGTCATTACTAATTGGCTGTGTCTGGTGGTGGCGGGTTTAATGGCACATTTATATTTACGCACTCTAGCCCAAAAAAACGCTATTAAACCCAATAATCTATTCATTAGTGCTCGCATTCCCACCATCTGCAGAGTGGCCTTCTGCAGACCGCTGGTTCCAAATGTGACCCTTGCCATGGTGGTCGTGGCAGTCTCTACAAACATTCTGCTCACATGGACGCCTCTGGTCGTGGCAGTGTCTATGAATACTCCGCTCACACGGAATCCGCTGGTCGCTCTGCCTCGCTGTCACAATGGAGCACGCGGCCTCCGTGAACCCTGAGCGGGTGGCAGGTGATGGAGCCGCGACCTTCATTGACGAGATGTTGTATGGAGAAATGCCAACATATCAAAGTATGATGTGAAGTTTTGATCAAAGCTGCAGGAGATCCGGAATTATATTTAGACATGTTTTTGGGAATGTGGAAAGTCAAAAGGATGTCCCACTTAAATGAGCATCAAGGTATTTGTGCTCATCTCCTGTTTATAGCCCAGTCCTGGAAATTCCACATTCCCATAGCAGGGGCGGCTCTACCATGGGACAACCGCTGTTGACTGCCCCACAACGCGGTGTACATTTTATCGTACCCCAGAGGTAAGATAGGCTGAGTCAACACCCCCAGCCAGACTTAGAACTCACAACCTTCCGGTAATTGCGAGCCAGTCGCTCTGCCGCTGAACCGGATCTTCGGGAAATTATTGAGCGGAAAACGGCTCCTTGGAACCGTCGTCGAGCAAAATTCAGAGAAACCCCCGCCACGTTGCTCGCACGATCACAGTTAACACCCCACTTGCCGCAAATGTTAAGCGCTTTCGACGCGGGCTGTGACCAAATTTTAACCCTCCTCTCTTCCCCGCTCAACAATACCTCCGCTCACTCCCCCACTCGCTCGCTCGCTCCCTTACTCACGCACGGATTGCCGTGGTGACTTCATTACGCTGATGGTGGCGAGTGCCAGGAATGGATGGTTCTCTCACCCCGAGCTGTTGCCTTGACGAGTTGTCTCTCATCTCGTCTTGCCGCTGTGCGTGCAAGGCAGGCTGCGTGGTGAATTCACGCTGCTGTTTCCCCGTGACCTATTCAGTTTTATTTTCAAGTCTCAAAGCCGATCCAGAATGACCCAGGTTTTTGTCTTCTATTGTTTTGTTAGATTTTTTATTTTGTCACCCAACAGTGCTTTTATTTCTATTTAGTTGATAACTGTACTTAGTTTTGTATATTTTTACTTTTGTAATTTTGTTGACCCAGAACCTTCTTGCAAAGGAAACTCTTCGATCCTGGTTTTTAGAGTTCTCACCACCTGGTTGAACGCAATAAACTTCAAACTTGTTCTATAATCGGGCTGGATGGGTGGCACAGTGGTTGGCACGCTACGCTATGAATCTCATGACCTGAGTTTTATTCGTGGCCATAGCTAACATGAGCGACGAGTGTTACCTGAACCAGCCCTGGGCCTCCCCTTCACTTATTCGAACTGACCAGTTGTGGAGAACTATGGTCAAACAACCCCCCACGGGGTATCACGAGAGGCGAAACTCTCGTAGCTCGTGGGGCACTGCCTTGTGTGCAAGATCAAATCACGGAACTAGTCAAGCAAACCTTTACTATACTCTGCAAAACAGTGTTCTTCGCATGGCGCTCAGACCAGAATTCGTTCTCAGTTCTGGAGTTCAAGCTGCATGTAGCAATAACAACCAAGTTCATACGAATTTAGTTTTATGTGCTCATTGGCGATTGGGCTAGGACCATCGACCCAACTCAGAGCAACAGAGTAACATTACGGTTGTTAACAACATACTAAATAACCATGATAGAAATTGTTAATTGCAATGTAATATTATCGCATTAACATTAACGTCAGTCTCACCTCCATGGCTGAGCCAATGACGTCTTCACGCCTATTTAAGGTCCGGATCAGGAGATGCCATCACTTGCCAAGTAGCGCTTGCTCCTTTGTCGTCCAACGATTCTGGGTGTAACTTCCAGCAACGCATCGTATCTAATCGTTGCCATTTTCCATGGCTTTCCTTTCACACAAACTGGTTTGCCGAAGACTATCAATTAGCGTGTTCTGTCCATGTGACAACTGGTTTTGTTTGGCTGTGTCGGGTGGACGAGGGTGTATGACACCGCTTGGCTTTACACTTCTGTGATCTGAGCCAAAAACTAATCGTGAATAAAGTGAGAACCCGGTTTCATGATGTTTGTATGTATGAATGTTGAACTTCTTTCGCACTGTACATTACCAAACGTGCGAATCGGAGGTGCGGGGGGAGGACATGAAACTAAACACAAAAATCAATTCTATACAAATAGTTGGCTGAAACCTTCTCAGGAAAGGTGTGGGAAGCTGGAACCATTTCTGGCATAGCCAAAGAGGTTAAAGCCGATTAATTTGTTCATCATCTTGATACCTATCGAGACAACTGCTCGACCAGAGCTATTAATGCTTTTTATAGTTACATTGTCTTTGCACTGTTTACCTTTTGGTGTCCTTTGATGTAGGCCAATCAGTTTCAGGACCCTGCATATATTATCAAAACATGTTTGTTTGCATGTTTGACCACAAGCATGTGTGGTTAATGCAGACTTGATTCCTTGTGATCGATGTCTGTTTGGTATTTGAACATCTAAATACCTGACTTGCAGGAAATGGTAAATTCTCTTAATTTGTTCATCATCTGAAACCCAGATTCCCACCCAGGTGTCAGCGGTGCTGGCTCAGCGTCTCCTACGAGCCCCTCGGACCCCCGTCGCTCACTCTTGGTTTTGATGTCGCTTGTCCTTGGTCCACGAAAAATCCAATGAGATGCTGAACGTTTTCTCTCGCCCCCTGCTCCCCGTGCCGCTCGCCCCCACCTCCCACCACTGTCAGGGCCGCGCACGCACGCGTGAAGGCGGAGGCCGCGGACATGGCATCGCAGACAGCCCATGAGGCCTCCAGCATCGCCCTGGAGCTCGCTGCCGAGCTCTCTCCAGGCTTCCTGTCCCAGGGTACGTGCCGACCGCCACCTCTGCCGCCTCCGCCATCATCACCGACCACTCTAGCTGCCACCACTATCGTTATCGCCAGTTCTCCATCGCTGCCAGCCACCACTACCATCACAATCATCGCGATCATTGTGATCATCGTCATCGCTGCCACTGCCATGACTATCACTGCCATGACTACCACTGCCACTGCTTTCATCAACACCGCTGTCGCCGTCGCCGTCATCATCGCCGCCTCCGGCACCACCACCACCATCGTCACCGCCAAACGTCATTGCACACTCAGTGCGTGATTCGTGTCAGTTTTTTGTTGAATTTAAAGGTTGGCCACCCTAGCCCATTCGGATGTTCGTTCGTTGGTATGTTTGCCTAGCCACCCAGATCAGACGTGGCTGCCAATGTCTGCATCGCCTCACTCCTCTGCCACACAATCTCTCGGAATATGGACATCTGTGAAAATTATCTTCATGACTCATCGGATCCTCTAATCTAAATGGAGATTCTGATTCTGGTTCTGACTTAAAAGAATCGTGGAGTATTGCATGAGCTCGAGCCATGCGGCCTTTAAGTTATAACTGCATCTGAGATTGCGAGGTTTTTTGTGCATTATAAAATCAATAGCTCTCTGAGCACTCTGAGGAGTCGCATACCATTACTGCGTTTGAGTCACTGCTCCAAGGTTCAAAGGATTTTGAGAGGCATGGGCATAACAGGGGCGCTCACCAGTGGAAACAAGACTAGATGGGAGTCTTTCGCACGTTAATTCCTTCTCCACTCATTCACGAAGCCATTAATTAATGAAACCATTCATCGATAAATTCAGTCGCTCGCTCGCGTGCCCGCTTGTCCGACTCGTAAGCGTAAGTGCCCCGCCGGCACAAAGAATTCCCTCCTCCTGAAAGATACTTTTGTTCCCTTTGCCAATTTCCTCATCAGTGTGGATTTTTCTTTGCCTCTCGCATTCAGAGCTGAATCCGCTCAACATCATGGAGTAATATTGGAGGCACTCTGGTCGGCGTCCAGCTTGGTCACCCGCCAGCTGGCACCCGCGCCGCCCATGCCCCACCGCGCGTTCCCGAGTCTTGGTCGTTCGCAGCTCGGCGTGGAACTGCCTCTCTCCTCTCTCTCACTTCCTCCTCGTCCCCCGGTCCCTGGGGCAGTTTTACTGGAGATGAAGGCAACTGGCGGCGTCACCCGCGCCGTGGCCAGTGTGCCTCGCCCGGCGAGAGCGTTCGGGATCGGGGTGACCTTCACGGGGGGGTCGGCAGATTGGACTGCGAGCGCCGCTCACGTCAAGCGCGTTCCCACCAATTACGGTGGCTTTTAACGCTCACGGCCTCTGGTCCTGGTGACCAGGTGCGCGGCGCAATTAGAGGGTGGCTGACTGCGTGGATTTAAATATAATCCGTCTGCGACGCTTGAGCCCGGGTGTGGCTCGTTAGCCGTGGAACCCAAACGACGGACACGGTTTTTTTTGTGGTGCCACGGGCAAAGGCGGGGGGACGGGACACTTTTTCAGTAAAGGAATGTTTTTATTTAGTCAGCTTATTCGTGATTATTAAGTTCACGTGAGTTTTGGTGAAGAAAAAAAAATAATACCGAAATGAAAAATAAGATTGGCCGGTGTCGAGTGTCGTCGGATGTGCTGAAGGGTAAACGTGCAGGGCTGAATTTCTTCGTTCATGCCACTGCTGGTGGATGAGCTCCCACTGGAGGGAAATCAATAAGCAGACAATTTCCTTCCCGTAGCCATCCCTAAGTATAAAAATACAAGTATTTTTATTGTTATTATTATATTCGTAAAAATGTATATACTTGCCATCAACCACACGGCCTTCTGGGAGTCCATAATTTCAGCCGCATTGGCTCAAGAGAAGTAGACACTGGACTGGCCTCAACACACTGTTTCTCATCAGCAGCCAGGGCACCCCATAGAAGGGGGTGGAGAGTGGCGGGGGGGGATTTAAGAAACTTGCACAATCGTTCCAATTGCCGCGTTGGGAGATGGAATCAAGTGTGCCGACTGTTGCACCACCGCGGCAGCGTCATTGACTGCGCGGTTCATTCAAGAACATTCCTGAACATGGCTTTGAGTTTTCAAACAATACTCGGCGGCGTGCGACCACCACAGATCGCAGCGCCAGCCTGCGTGAGTCGCTGCCGAGGCACTTGCCCTATAGCAATCAGCTGGCGCGTTAGGGGGGCAATGGAGCAGCTGGGTGGTGGCGGCCGTCTGTGTGAGAGAGAGGGAGAAGAGAGCCGCTGAGGGACAGGAACGCCAGGTTGCTCAATAAAAATGCAAACCGGGTCCCTTCCCTCTCTATGAATAGTGCACGTGCACGATTCTCCGGCAACAAAAAACGGCGGCCCCGTGATCATCACGCCGGTGGCACAGGCAGCCTGGGGGCTTGGCGGTCGGATCAAGGCAGGGCCAATGCTCGGGACAGGCCGTGCCTAACGGCCGCACGGCGACTTCCCTCCGGTGGGGGGGGACCGGCGTTTGTGGGATTCACGTGGCCGTCGCGACGCTGGACCTTGGCCGGCGCTCGCCTGCGGCTGAAGCAGCGCAGACTCCCCGAGGCCGAGCTGCGAGGCTCGCCCTCCTCCTCCCCGCGGCCCTGCAGCCCCCCACAACCCTATGCCTCGCCAGCGCACTGTGTCCCTGGCCCAAGCCCATATCAAGCCGGGAGCGACTAATTATAGCCGGCTTGGAATTCGTGTAATGGGGAGAACGCGAGGCAGAATCTGCTGAGAGGCAAGGAGAGAGGGGTGCTGGTAAGGGCGGCTGGGGATTGCGGGGGGGTGATGGGAGGGGGTTGTTGGGAGGCAGGGTCGGTTGTTCAGCAAAGAGAGCAGTAGCAGACGTCTCATTCAGGTCGTTTCACAACAAATGTGTGCGCCCAGCACATCTCACTGCGCGCAATCCGCCTTTCTAGCGAATGGACGTGGCCTCACGCATGCGTGCGTGCGTGAATGGAGCGAGCTTCTATGAAGGCCAGCATGGCACACGAAGGGGTTAGGTGCTTGCTAACGGCACTTGCTCTTCCAGTCTGTTAAGGGTATATGGGAGTTATTTGTCTTTGTATGGGGAACAGTAGTGCAGCAGTTAGCATGCTGCGCTATGAACCTGGTGCCCGAGTTCGATTCCCGCTCACAGCCAACACCAGTGACGATTATCTTGGGCCTCCTCTTGGTTGACAAATGAGTACCTGGTGTGGTGTGTAGTAAGCATCACCACCAGGGAGACAGAGGCGGCCGGGTGTGGTGCTGACCCTCCACCCCTTCGTGTGCCATGCTGGCCTTCATAGGTACTCGTTAACAGCACTTGCCCAAACAGTTTGTTCAGCTTTACGGGGGTTATTTGTCTTTGTGCGTATGTGCGCGTGTGTGTGTGTGTGTGCCTGTTGAACAGCTGTTGCTGCTTGTTCTTTAACGCAGGTGCTGTCGGGGTAATGTGCTGCTCTGCACAGAGCTTATTCATAAAAATCAACCCCCCTATCTCGGCTCAAGCCGATGCGATAATCTTCCTTGGGATCCTCTTACCGTGATTTTCACCGGCGAGTTAGTTTTTTTTTTATACAGCTCCAGTGTGTCGTGGCAGTGACCGCGCCAGCATTGACCGATTTATACCGCAGATTCCTGGGAGTTGTTTTTACGTTTGCCGGCATTTCGATTTTCAATGCAAAAAGAACATTCGCCAAAAAATGTTATTAAACAATTCTCAAGAAGCGTTTTTGATTATCATCGAAGTCGGGATGCGGTAAAAGCATTTCACCAATTGGCAGCCGATCACGTACATTAGCAAGGGTTGGCACTTATGCCAATACAATTCTCCTCATTTACTGCATTTGTGTAAACGAATGCATTTGCATCGCTGCGTTGGCTGTGGCACACAAGTATCGAAAACGTTCCTCAATAGTAGTGCCGTGGGCTCTAACAGGAAAAAATAAGAAATATAACAGGTGACGTTTTGGGGTAATGGCACTTCCTCGTAGCAGAGAGAGAGCATCTGCCGTAACGAAGGGCCATTGCCAGAAACGTCGGCTCTCGTGTATATCTCTCCCATTATGTTGGCGTTATTGTGTTTATTTCCTCCGGTTTTGCATACATTCAGCAGGACTACCACACTTCAATTCCCAGGACGTTTCATAATTATGGGGAAGTCGTGGTGTTCATGAACGGCCCTCACCTACAACACCAGGCAACGCGACAGCATTCGCTTCGCAGGCTGCGCCCTGCTGATGAGGCCTAGAGAAGTTGAAACCGGTCCAGAGTTTGGCAGCTTAAAATAAAGCTGCTGGGGAAACATTGGTTAACAAGGCCGAGAGGTCGATTGGTTAATATATTCTGTTCTCCTACAACGTGGTAGTTGTTGCGTTCTGGAAAAATTGCGTTATCATAAATTATATATATTATAGGGTAAAGCACAGTCCGCGATAACACGTGAGATTCGTACACAGGCCGCACAAAAACTATGGTGCGTGGGGTAGCATCTAGAAGCATCCAGCAGCATGCCGCTTTGTGTGATGCTATGCCGAGGCAGCCGTGCGACCGCTTATTCCTACTCGAGTGACGTAATTATGTTCACTTATTCGCGTTATATCCAATTCGCGCTATGAAAACAGCACGCGCCGTTATAGAAGAACAGACTGTGTATTGTTTTATGTTTTAATCTGGTGACACAGATGCCGCCCTTGCACGTTACTTAATTACCCGTAACCCGTCACAACGACGCACAGTAAGCCTCGTCCCTCACCGCCGGCGCCCACTTGCTCCCACAGGGCGCAAGGGGGATGAGGACGAGGACGAGGACGAGTACGAGCTAGAAGACGACGACGCTCCGGTGGAGAGGCCACCCAGCACCGAGCTCTACCGCAAGGGCACGACGCCGCCTCCCAATCAGAGCCCTGCGGGCAGCCTCGGCCCCACGCCGCCCCCGAGCCCGCGCTCGCGCTCTGCGCATGCCAACCCGCCCGCCATCACGGCGGCCGCCAGGGGCGCCGGCCGTGGCGTGCTCAAGCCTGAGCCGGAGCGGCCTGGTGCGAGAAGGGCGGTGAACGCCGACGGACCCGGTGTGCCCAACGGGAAGCAGGGAGCGCGCGGGAGGACGACTGATGCCGTGCCGCCGAAAGGTAGGGCGCGGCCGTGTCCAGCGTGGGGTGCCGCGCGCCACCAGGGCAGGTTGAGGTGCCGGTGGACACGAGAGCCCCTTTCCCACAAGCACGTCTGAGGCAAGTCAGCGAGATGCCCTCGCTGTTATGGGTGGCTGCTTTTCGAGCCAAGCGGGAACTAAACCGTGACATGCTGGCCGTGCGAGATGGATGCCTGTCTCGGTCCCAAGCAGGGCCAGGGTTAGGGAGCATTGTTCATTGCGTGTGATGTCAGTGGCGTGGTTCAGCTTCTACGGTGCAGGGCTTGGCTCGGCACGGCTCGGTTGTGCCACAGGAAGAGATGGAGGAAAATAAGGTGTTGTGATGGAATTGGAGAGGTCTTTAAATCTCATGGAATATTTTATGGATTGCTGATAGACTAGAGTAGGCATTTGACTCGTAGCAGCCACAGCCATGTATTATTTATAATATACAGGCCTGGCTGAAATTAAGCCCTGGAATAAGGGAATAATGAGTTAAGTGTGTGTTCCTTTAAAAACTCAAATCACATCACCCAGGGTGCATCAGATACCGGAAGCAAAGCACAGCGGTGAGAAATTCACCCTCGATAAACACACGCATTTGGCACAACTGTGATTACCTAAGCAGCGGTTTTACTTTGTGAGGGAAGGGCTGTGCAGAGACGTGGCTCCGCGTGGAGGTGAGCGACACGATGCCGGGCATCGTCGGACAACTGCGTGTGTGCGTGCATCTGTGCCCCCGGAGGCTTAGCAGGCCAGAGTGACGGCGGCGGCGGTGGTGGCAGCCGTCGGGAGCCACGCACGCGCTACCAGATTGAGATGAAGCCCCTCCGTCGGAGGGACGGCCTGCAGCACCGAGCCTCGGAGCGGCGCCAGAAGGAGGAGGTGGTCTCGGGCTACCACGGCTATGCCATCTGCCACTCGCCCACCGCGCAGACAGACATCCGGCGGCAGAACCAGGTTGGCGACAACGGCCACCACGACGGCAAGGCGGCGCCCGTGGGGAGCAACCCCGGCTCTGACAAGGGCTCCAACCCAGGCCCCACGCAGCAGCAGAGTAACGCCAGGACGGCGCCCAACCCCAACTGGAAGGGCGGTGGAGAGGTTGACGTGGTGGAAACCGTGGAGGTGGTGGAGTTCGTGGATGAGGGCATGGTGAGGCCAGCACCACACGGGGTGGGGGGGGGGACAGATTGTGGGGTCGGGTCGTGGGGTCGGATCAGCACTCTGTGTCAACAGCCCATGGACTGGAGTGGCCCAGGTGCCAAGCTGCAAAGAGGAAGGGATCCGGGAAATTGGATTGGGGGGGGGGGGCAATTTAATTCCTTGCACGAGGGCCCATGCCAACCACATTACTCCACTGGCCGGTAGGTCAAGTCAAGGGGTCAGGTCTAGGGGTTAGGTTGGGGGGCTCATCGGCCTAATCCACTGACCTAGCCGACCTTACTACCACCCAGTATTTAGACTAATTGTCTGGAATTTGACATCACGATTCAGTTCAAGAAACGTATTTTCTTCTGTCCCATTGCTATATTTTTTTCGGCTGCATTTTCCACCTGAGACTGGAAACCCCAGTGTAGAGTTTGTAGCCTCCTCAACCTGAAGCAATGAGCCGATTCCGCCAAATTTGCAACATTTGACTGACGCTGCGGATACGTAAAATGCCGCTTGTGTACTCTCTGCAACCCAAAAAATATTCAACACATTTGTGTTTAGTGCGGTCTCCAACCCTTGTCGTCCGATCTGTGTCTCTGGCATCTATCCATGAGCTATGCAGAATAGCTAATACCCAAAACGTTACCTATTTTTTTTCCTGTTCAGGCCACGAAGTGTTATTGGCGAATGTGTTGAGTTTTTTACCATTGTGTACACTTGTACACCATTGCCAACGCAGCAGCAGCATTGCCAGATAATTTTGCTCTTGCAAAAGAGCCTGTTGGCCTTCATGAGCTCTCGCCCCTTGCCATGGCTTACTTCTGTGGTGAATAGAATCATGCGTTTAGAGAGTATTTGGCTGCTGTAAATTTCCACACGGTAAGCCACTTTGCTGAGCTATAATTTGTGCCCAGGTCGCTTCTGAAAAGAGCTTCATTGCTCAGTGGGCCTTACCTGGTAAAATAAAAATAGCATCAGTAGTCATAAAATATGAGGAGTTTCCACGTTTTGTTCGCGTAGTCTGTGCCGTCACAGCTCACCCTGCGTGCATTGTGCGTGGACGCAAATCCTGGCACCAATTTCAACAAACAATCGAAACGATCCCTGTAGCAGTACGGGCGCACGCCCACTTCCAACGCGAGTTCGATAAAAACGCATGGAGGTGGTGGCGGAGGGCAGAGACTGCCCCTCCAGGACCCCCCCCCCCCAGTCATTGTCTCTTGAATTCAACTCACAAATCCCGGCACCATCATTATTATTGGGCTTGCTTTGCCCAGGTTAGCCTCACTGAGTATCATCACTATTCTCACAAGGGTCCTGCCAAATGTTCACAGTGTGGGCGAGTGGTTTGAAATGAGTGATTTGCGGGCAATTTGAACAGTGACGCTGGCACACAATGGCCTACTTTTGCGAATTACATCATGGGATCTTTAACGTCCACAGTTGAGCAGATGGCGCGTAGTAAACATTACTATGGTTAGATACCTGATATATTAATCGGCAAGGCCACTGGATTCGAACCGTGGACCTCTCTGCAATAAGCGGTGAACGCGCCACCGCCACCGCTTGACCTGTCATCTCCTGATAATAGATGTGGATCGCGCAGATATTTGTGAGGCTTCCCCGGGCTCCCATGATAGCTGTGGGGAACTTGAGTTACCCCAGATCCCTTGGAACTTTTTCTGATTTCCTCTTAACCATTAATTAATAAAGTATATGGCCAAATATTTCAAATGCAGGATCCTGATGACAATGTTTTTAGACTGTTCCAGGGCTTTCCCAGATAAATCATCATCATCGATTACTGTATTCAGGCCTCCTCAAGCCCCGTCACCATCTCTCCCAACCTCGTGATGCAACAATGGAGAGAGCTCCTGCCCATTAGCTGATGCATCACTCCATCTCCACTTGTCCATGTCTCAAAACCAGTAACATGCAACGATTATAAAACAAAGTGCTGGAATAATATAACCAGGTCACCAGGTGAACATAAATCTGTATTTGGGTTGATGGGGCATTTTCCTGAAGAAGGCCTGTCGGCCAAAACATCGAGATCTTCCTTTTGCTTTTAGCAATGGTGAATACAATAATTATTATTATTTTATTTAGCCTGTTGTGTTTTATATAAGCTAGCCGAATATGCGACCCAACAACCATCGTGATCATTAAATCACCTGAGCAGCGGTGCTTGGACATTGTTCGTGAGCGATTGGTGCAGCGGTGAGCATTGGTCATCAGCAGGGACCCTCCTCCCCACCCCCCTCCTCCTCATCTCCTCACATTTTGAACTGGCCCAAGGTTGAGGCCAGTTCAAGTTGGAGCCACGCATCACTGAGACCAAAGATCGGCTCACCACGCACGGCAGGTATCCCTCGATTTACGAAAGGGAATGCGCTCTTCAAAAAGCCACGTGTAAAAACGAAATTTCGTAAATCGGAATGGCTTTTCCCTTTCATTTAATAAAAAAAATTTGGGATGTGTTTCGGACAGTCATTCCAACTCCATTCCTAATCTAAAAATATACACCGATATCACTTTTGACAATACAAAAATAATAATAAAGAACATATATTTTAAAACAATTGAATGATAATACATTTTAAAGAAAAATAATTAACCCCATCAGGGAACTCATCAAATCTGCATGCTGGAATGAGTGGAAAGGTGATGTGGAGATGTTACTGTTGTACTGTAGGGACACTGTGACGCTATCGGGGATGGATGATGCACGCTCCCGGGTGCTTCTTGTTTGGTGATCTCACGGAGTGTGCCGTAGTGACATTTCTTGGCTCAAATCCGATTCTGTTTATCGAAAAGTGACCATAATTTGTCAATTGTTCTTTACGCGAAATTTCATAAACCGAAGAACGTTTGTAAATCGAGAGATACCTGTGCAGATAGACCACCCATCAATCGGAACCTAAGTGTAGCTCGCTGACAGAGTGGGGAGGACCCAAATAAGTGCCAGCGCGGACCCGTGGGCTGGGGTTCCTAGGGTTTTCTGAGCGAGTGAGTGAGCGGTCTCACTCTGTCCACTGTGCCGGCGGTTCGCTAATGAGGACAAATGGACCCGGAGCGCCGCGTTGTTTCCTGCTGAGACGTGTCAACCGTGAAGCAAAGGAGGAATTTCACCAGCATCGGTCGATGAATCGCATCCAATAGTTCTCGAGGTTGGATAAAAGCGGTTAACGCCCGATTTCACCTGGTCTCATCATATCTCGGAAACTAAGCAGTAGCGCTTGAACAAGCAACCAACATCCATAAAAAGGTTGTTATAGGATGCTTGGGCTATGCAGTGGGCAGCAGAGGGCAGGCAGCCCATAGTTGTACCGCACATCTGTGTTCCCGAGCCACTTGCTCCCCACGTTTACTGCCCCACACTAATAAGTGCGGTGAAGTAAACAATATTCCCGAGCAGACAAGATGCCTTGCGTCATGTCATTCCATCAACTAGTCCCAACTCCTAGGGACCTGCACAGTAGGGGATTGACGAATGATGGCGCTGTGCTGCACGTTCCTTTCAAACATCCAATTGCACGGGCTCCGCCGCCGTCCACCGTGCAGCGGAGAAAGAGTGACCGTCGCCGCAATGATGCTCGCCCGAACCCAGGCTAACGGTCAGCGCACGCGATGGGGGGCTGGAGTGCAGATCAAGAGGCTGTGATGGCTGGGATGCGTGGCTTGGTGTTGCTTGATGAGCGCTTGCGTGTATGTGGGTGAATGTTGTGTGCATATGTGTGTATGCCGTTTTTTGTGCGCGTGCACCCGTGTGTTCATGTGTCTGCATGCACGTGTGTGTATACGTGAATGTCTTTGTTTGTGTGTGCATGCACGGCGAACACCAGTGACGATTATCTCAACCGCTTCTGGGCTTTCCCTAGGTCGACTCAGCCTCAAATAAGTACCTGGTGCGGTGTGTAAGGATCTTTACTAGGAAGACAAAGGCCGCCAGACGTGGTGCTGGCCACCCACCCCTTCGTGCGCCGTGCCGGCCTTCATAGGTGCTCGCTAAGAGCATTTTCTCCAACGGTCTGTTAAATGCTAAACGGGGGTATTTGCCTGTTTGTGTGCATACAGGTCGTTTGGCCTGCCTGCGATTCATGCTGGGTTTAACCAGGCTGGATTGTGTGAGGAGCTCACAAATCCTTGAAAGATCTGGACATATTCCTATTAGTGAGCTCCTCCGGCAGGCAAGGCTGGATCATGTAGCCCACACATGCCAAGCCACCGCATGCCCAAGCAGCTTCTAAGCAGGCCCGACACGGGCTGGAGAAGAGATGGACTGATGCAGTACAGGAGAATATGGAGCTGAGTGGACTTGCCGAAGACTGGTACCAGCGGTGTCAAGATCGGCCTCTATGGAGGAGGCTCATGAAGAATGCAACTCGTCAGTTCCAGGCAGTCGCCCTCCAACAACGGAGGGTAGAGGAGCGATGCTCAGCGGAGCATCGGGCAGCTAAAATGCAGCAGGTTGGCATAGTGGGGGGCCTAAAAGTGCACAAAGCGATGGCACAAGCGCCAGGGTTATATCACCGCCACTAGCGAATGGCGGTTGTTGTTGTGGATGCTCATGTGCGTGTGTCTGTGTTCGTGCGCTTGCGTCTGTATGCGTGCGTGTGTATGGCTGCTCGGGCTGCAGAGCAAACTTCACGCTCGCCTGAGATCAAATTACCCTGAATGCGCCAAATATCACCAGATCTCGGAAGCTAAAGCAGGCTTGAGCCTGGTTAATACTTGGATGGACAACGACCAATGCTTTCCAGGTGTTGCAGGCTTGGGCTGCGAGGTGGCCATGAGATGTCAGAATAGAAACAGATTATTAAACCTATCTGTGTGAGGCTGTGCGTACTGTTACCCCTTTTGTTGATGTCTGGGCACTTTAATCACTTCTGCCGCGAAGACAAAAAAACTCCTGATAAAATAGTTTTGTAACTCTCTAAGGCTCATCAGGATTACTGAGCCATCGTTTGATCGATATTGAAGTCACCTTTAAAAAAACGAAATCATAAGCTGTAACAAATATTTTCGTTATGTTTTAAATCATACACGCGTGGTATGAGCGACGAGAGGTGCCGGGGGTCGTCCTGGTCTGATGTTGGGAGATTTGCGATATCGGCCACCGTGGGCCGTTCTTTAATCACGTAGAGGCTCGCGCTGCTCTGCCAGACGTTCATCCCTCGTCTTGTGACGGCGTGAAGCCGACAGCGTGACCTGGTGCGACTGCGGTCACAGCAGCAGCTCCCTTGCAGTGTGTGCTGGGTCACGACCGCCTGTGCAGTTCACCGTCTGGTGCCATGATCACAATCTGATGGTTGTGCTTCCACCACCTGACAAGATTGTCACGCTCGCACAGATATTATTTGTACGTGGCCAAATCCGTTCATCAAATTGCAGCCGATAAAGCTCCAGCTCACTGGGGAGCTGAATGAACTCCGTCGTAATCCAACCCAAAAAAACTAATCTGAGAAATCTATGGGACCCTTTTTTTAATGATGATTTTTATTTTTGCATTGTCGTTGTGCTGTTCACCTTTTGGTGTTCTCTGGTCTAAAACTGTTGAGACAAGGCCATAAAGGAAGGGAGTCTCTGATGTCGGCTGATCAGTTTCCAGGACAATGCGTACATTATCAAAGCATGCTTGTTTGCATGTTTTACCACAGGCGTGTGTGCTTAATGCAGACTTGATGATGCCTCCTGATGGGTGTCTATTTGGTGTTTGAACATCTCAACACTTGCCGAAAAGCCTATTCTTTTTTTCATCATCAAATCTGACAAACTACTGTATGTGTGTATGTTGAACCTATTTTGCACTGTACGTAGCCAAGGACAACAACACAAAAAGCCGTTGTAACGAACTAAGTTTTCAGTCGAGATTTACAAGTGCATTACTTGATTGGCTTCCTAATATCGGAAGGAAGAGCGTTCCAGACGGTCGCAGAAGCACAACTGAAAGTGTGTGATGCAGCAACCTACTTTGTTCAATGTCTCGCCAAAACCTGCTGCGAGAATGACCGGAGTTCACGTGATAGTTGATGCTCCTTGACGAGACCCGGTAATGAGCTCCACCCGGTAATGAGCTCCACCCGGTAATGAGCTCCATCCGGTAATTAGCTACATCTGGTAACGAGCTCTATCCGGTAATGAGCTCCAGCCAGTAATGAGTTCCACCCGGTAATGAGCTCCATCTGGTAATTAGCTCCACCCGGTAACGAGCTCCACCCAGGAATGAGCTCCACCCGGTAACGAGCTCCACCCAGGAATGAGCTCCACCCGGTAATGAGCTCCAGCCAGTAAAAAGCTCAACGAGCTCCACCCGGTAATGAGCTCCACCCGGTAATGAGCTCCACCCAGGAATGAGCTCCACCCGGTAATGAGCTCCAGCCAGTAAAAAGCTCAACGAGCTCCACCCGGTAATGAGCTCCACCCGGTAATGAGCTCCACCCGGCAACGACCTCCACCCGGCAACGACCTCCACCCGGTAACGAGCTCCACCCGGTAACGAGCTCCACCCGGTAACGAGCTCCACCCGGTAACGAGCTCCAGCTGGTAACGAGCTCCAGCCGGTAACGAGCTCCACCCGGTAACGAGCTCCACCCGGGAATGAGCTCCACCCGGTAATGAGCTCCACCCGGTAATGAGCTCCACCCAGGAATGAGCTCCACCCGGTAATGAGCTCTATCCGGTAACGAGCTCCATCTGTGTAACGAGCTCCATCCGTGTAACGAGCTCCACCCGGTAACGAGCTCTATCCGGTAACGAGCTCCACCCGGTAACGAGCTCCACCCGGTAACGAGCTCTATCCGGTAACGAGCTCCATCCGTGTAACGGGCTCGGAAATTGAGTGAGGCTGCTTCACTTCGCTCTCTGCCTAAATGTCCATCGCGACATAACCAGCTGCCAAAATTGTGGCTCGCTTCCAACGCATGTGTTATTGGAGGGGGTTAACGATGACATGAAACCTACCGCCATGTTGCCTCGCCTCAAAAACAAATGTAGATTGTACCGCAGTTGATGACCGCCTGTACAATTTAAGATAACGGTTTTCTTGCTCCCTGCTCCTGGTTAAAACCACGCCGTGATATTGACACACAGGGATGAAGGCGTCTCCCCCTCTCAGTTAAGATCACAGCTGCGGGTGTGGACATCGGATGTTTCGAATCGTTGTCATGGGAATGACGTTTAAACACATCCAGCAATGCTGTCGTAAACATCACTGTTGGGGGATAGCCACCAGGAAACATAGTCAACCGCCATTCCCTAGCCGCGTCTCGGGAAGCGGGCACGGAACATGGCGGTTGTGAGATGTTGAGGAGCGGCTGAGTGGTCAGATTTGGGGGGTCTCAAACCATGGATATGCCCTTTGGGGGTAGATCATTTAGAGATGAAGAATGTTCTTTGAAGGGTTAGGGTGATGAATAGCCAAGCGGGATACTCTGCATAGACAAGGCGCGGAGTGGGTGGTTTTAAGACCCTTATACATCAGCTGAAAGCGGTTAGTGGTGAAATCAGAGGGCCGTGGATCAAAGCAGCCGATCGCGAATCTGTAGGCGGCGATTAGCGGTGATGCGCGGATACAATCCGCCCCTGATTAACAGACGGCAGTGGCGTAACAAAATATCTGATCCCGCCGCAAGGCCGCTGTGGCACGATATTTTGGGCGGCACATGTATGTGCGCAGCTAAGAGGGGACGGGTGGTTGTAACTGCGTCAGAAGCATCTCAGGTTTCCCCACGGGGGAGGAGGGCGAGGAGAGGGGGGTGGTGGTGTCTGTCGGGGGGCCATGGGAGAGATCTTGGAGCTGGCGGTGTTGTGCGGGAGCTGCCGAACAGCTGCCTATGTCAGTCTCGTCTCGTCCCTCACGCTCGGCCCGTCGGTAGCACCGTCACCTGCGCGCAGCCCGCTCCTTGCCGAAGGAAGACTGTGTCGGCAGATCCAATTTAATCGTGGGGAAGGAGGGAGCTGTGTGGGGAGCTGTAGGAAGCTATAGGCAGCTGTAAACCTGGCTGCATCAGCCACAGATTTATCATCACATCTAATCTCATCACGGCGTTGGTGCTCGTGGCCCAGTAGTGCTGTGGTTTGTGGAGTGGTTTTTGTTCCATGCCACTGTGTCACATTGTGCGCGTTGCGTGGTTTGGCTAGCCACCGTCGCGGCCTCAGTGGCGCACTGCACCCAGCGTTCGGCGGTGCTGTAATTGTGACTGGTAAATGCGGTCATTACCGACGGCATCCTTGGGAGGCCACATCATCTTGCACCGTCGGAAGCGTTCGCCATCCAAAAATTGCTCAAAGGATGTTGGACGCCGGGCGATGCCAGAAACCGGCGTGCGGCATCCGGTAGCCGCCGCGGAGGAGCCGCCGGGCTATAATCGATGTCGAACAAGGGGCCACGGTTCCCCCACGGGATTCATGTTTGTAAGGCGGCAGGGGGAGGGGGGGAGCATTTGGTAACGAGGCATCCCCATAAGATGAGTTCTAGTTTTGCGAAAATGCACAGCTGCATTCCAATTTGAGACAAGCCACAACACAGACCCAATTCCCAGGGCTCTCTTGTAAATGCCAGACCGCCGTCTGCTGCTAACGAAGGCGGCCGCTGCCACCACCACTGCTCCTTCCCGATTGCTGACTCCTGCCGGAGGCCACTGGCCAAAATGAGAAGTGGCGCGTGCGAGTGTTTGGTCTGCACGGTCTCGTCGGTGTTGATTGCACACGCGCGGTGTTTTACGGAGCCTCGTAATGTTGACCTGCAATATGAGATTGCTCCGGATTGATTGCCGCGCCAGGGAGGTGTGCACCGCTGATGTGTAAATAGAGGTGAGGTCAGAGGGGGAGCGACAGAATTGGTGGAAGGCAGGGAGCGGCAGGGAGTTGTCGGCAAAACCAAAACACCAATCGCACAGTTTGATTAGAGACGGTCACGCGAGATTTCTCTGAAGAAGACGCAACTGCTCATGAAGGGGCTTCGGGGAGAAAATATCACCGTCTGTGACCACACTGCGTCGTGGGGAATGTCACGTTTTTTGGTGTCAGATGCAGGTGGTGTTCGTGATGTTATGAGAATGAGATTTTTTTTTAAACATCTCTGTGGCGACCTTGTACCACACACGCGTACCCCCACCCCCCACACCCCCTACGAGACCCCTCCAGCCTCCGACTCCACGCTGGTTAGCAAGTGACGTCAGCATATGTATCGGGAGCAGTCATCGTGTGAGGAATAAAATAACATTATTAGTATGTACACGCGCAGTGTGCTTCATGCGTTTCGACGGCCGACCGTCGCTCCGCTGGTTCACCTAGAAAGCCTCACCGTGTCTCGTGATTCCTTTCTGGGAGCGTCTTGAAAAAAAAATATTCTTGTGTAAATTCAAATTTCAGTAATTTCTGGACCATGATGCCAGCACATAATGGCCTACTCTTCCGAGTGAGGTGAGGGGATCTTTAACGTCCACTGTGAGCAGACGGCGCGTAGTTGCTGTATGATTCATACAGACCGCACTCATCAGCAGGGTAGCCAGTGCATTCAAATCCATCGTGAAGGCCTCTGGGTGATGACTAGGCCTCGAAGGGAACTTCACCTAGGGCTGCCACCTGTCAGGGAATAGATTTGCACCGCGTTTCGGTGCCGGGATTGTGTAAAACTTTGTATCGGCATAACGCACAGTTCCCATAGGCTTAGGCTGACTGAAAACTATGTCCGGGGTTGATTTGTGGAAATGTCTGCAACCCTAGCTGTCTCCCTCACCCCCATCCTCCCATCTGTTCTCTACCCACATCATGCCCCTCACTCCCCCATGCCCCCCACCCCCTTCTGTACCACTTTCGCCTCACCCATGCAGAGCTCCAGCTCAGTGCTGGTTGCCATGGTGATGCTGCTGGTCCTGGGCTTTGCCGTTCTCTTCGTGCACATCCTCACCTGACGCCCGCCACCCTGTGCAGGTTTGTCGCTGCCCCCGTTGATACCTTAATCGCCACCCCGCCTCCCGCTCCCCCGGTCACAGCTAGCCACACCAGTTCTCCTTCCCGGTGGTGGTGGTGGCTTGTGACTCCAGGTGAAAGGGAACCGTGTCCTCCTCAGTGGCTCAAGCTACAAAACAACGATATGAACTTTTATAACAGCCATCGGCTCGCCCAAGGTCTCTGCTCTTCTCTCATTCAGCCTGGTGGGCCGATGGCTGCGGGCGTGCGCCGAGACTGGGGGAATTGGTCCAAAGGAATGCAGGAGGGGGCGTGGAGATCCTGACAACAGAGTCCTCCCTACGGTCTGAACGTCAGGACCTCGGTGTCAAATTTCGGCTAACGATCCCCAGCATCTCCTCATGGCTTCCTCCTGCTTCCCACGAGGCCTGGCGTGGTGACGGCCCAGCGTCGGCGCAATTCCTACCGCGCGCTGCCGCATTCCCGCCTGAGCTGTAGCTGCCTTCTCTTACCACGAGGTGGTTTTGAGTCACGAGCCGCCGCCGCCCCATGCCATCACCGCCGTGCACCACCTCGATCGATGTGGAGGCTTTGTCCACAAAGAACATCGCGAAGCTGGCGGGGATTTGTGTGGTTACGGTCAAATGCCACCGCCGCGAAGTTCCCTTGTTCCAGTCTAGGTTCAAGCCAGCATCGTGCTCCCCAAAGGTGGGCAGCTTAGGTTTTAGAGTGCTGAGCTGGCACCAACATGCCAGGACGAAATCTGGGTTTCGGCCTAGATTTGAAGCTTCCGTGACTGCAAGGATTCATACTCTTTGTTTTTTCGGTAAAGTCACGTAGGTAAAAAATCTAAATAAAATAAATGAAAACAACTAAATTAAATCGCGACGTTTCGGGTGCAACACAAGCATCCTTCAGGTGGGGATAACGTAGCGAAAGCACAACCGCTTAAGTATGTCAGACACACTTAAGTGGTTGTGCTTTTGCTACGTTGTCCCCACCTGAAGAAGAACGCTTATGTTGCGCCCAAAACGTCGTGATTTTATTTAGTTTTCATTTATTTTTTTAAGATTTTTTACCTACGTGACTTGACCGAAAAAAACAAAGAGTATGGGTTTCAGCCGCCTGTAATTAAACCAGATTTTCAACTGTCGTGGGTTGAGAATTTGATTTTGGTAATTTAACTACACAGAGAAAACAATGCCAATATATTTAGTTTTGGTTTGGTTTGGCTTATTTCCATCATCTTAAACACAGGTATGTGTCTATATATCGTTCTCATTACCAAGCGATTAGCATTCAGAGTGGTTTTAGTATGTGACCTTTGTCGGTCTTGAAATGCAACAAACAGTGTTCGCAGGGCACGTACACAGTGCGCACCTTCTCATCGTGCCCCCACCCATGTGCTCTCACCCTCCCTGTCCCCGCAGCAGCGTCGCCTGCAAGACTGCCGACCGAAACCGCAGCTACGTTTGAGCCACCATGGATGGTTTTGCCACACCGCCACCGCCACCGCCGCTGCCACGGCCACCACCATCCTCCCCAGTCCCTCCTCTCTCCCCCCCATTAACGGCCGGTAGCCGCCACCTTGGTACTCGCAACAACAACAACCGCCGCCGTTACCCCTGGCCCCAGCGTCCTGCACGCCGCCCGCCAGCGAGCGGCTCAAGGAGGCTGGGTGAGGTGCGACCGCCCTCCACGGTGGTAGTGGTGGCGAATTGCCACAGCGAGGTGGCCGTGGCAAGCGGGCCCCGTCGCAGGCACGTGGCGATGGTCGGGAGGGGGGAAGGTCACCGAGGAGCGATCAGAGATTCACCGCCCATTTGTGACTGACCATGCGGTTTCTGGTACCGACCAACGTAGAGGCATGATTGCTGCAGGCGCGATCGCACGGTACGGTCGTGCGAGACGCCTGTTTGGCTGGTGTGAGCGAGTGAGCGTGCGATTCCCAAGATGTGTTGTTGGCCGAACGACGGCACGCTCGCGATGTGTCGCACCGCGGAGGGGCAGAGTGAGGAGTGATTTGGGGCAGGGAAGGGCACAAGAAGTGCAGAAGAGCTGACGGTGCAGGCCCTGTTGGACGTTTATGAAGCCATGAAACCCGTCCCGTGTGAGCGAGCGGCAGCAATAGTGCATGTTCTGTACCAGCAGCTGTGGGAGGACCTCACGGTGGGAGGGACCGGTGCATGCATTTCTGATCAAAATTTTTAAAAAGAGAAAAAAATATATATAGATTTGTTGAAAAATGTGAATGCTTGGAGCCGATTTATTTTTGTTTAGTACTTGCAACATGGCCGGTAACCGCTAGTTGTTTGCTGCATGTTGCATTCGTGGGTCGCTTGCACCAGCAAAACATATTGTTTTGCTTGACTATCGCATTACTTTTTTGGAAAAAAATTAATACGTTTTTGTTTCCCGCCGCTTAATCAAACCCAATGTTGCTATTGATTTCCCCCATCTTTTCTTAAACAAATGTACACTTTATCCCATGAAAGATAACCAATGTGGATTCCCAAAAAAAAATATAAGCATTTTCTGTCATTTGCTTTATTATTATATATATTATTTCCTTTGTCGGTATTTGCGACATCTTTGCGCTCTCTCACCGCCTCCTCTCCATCGTGGGGCCGACGGCGTTGCAACACCGCGGCCCGAGTTTGTGGAGGATATGAGACGCCCTTGAGCTTTATGCCTGGAACTTCCCTCAACGTGGGTCAAGTTCAGCTTTGGATTAAACCTTAACGATTGTGAGATGAATTCTGGTTGCCTCTTCTCCTGCATTTTTCAATTCTCCCTCCTCCTCTTTCACCCTCATCTTGCTCCTGCTCCTCCGAGCAATCGGGCTGTCCAGCCTCGATGTGCCGGCCCCTGCCATACGTACAGCAGCAGCAGGATAATCTGACTGTCTCTGCTGCAGCAGAGGTAGAGGGCAACTGTTCTTGGTCCCGTGGTGGCAGTGGCAACAGCGGTTTCCATTGTGCCGCTTCTCGGGGTTGGTGGGCACCCTGGGGATCGCTGTGAGGTTGGGACTGTGCAGAGATGGTCGGTTCTAGAGGTCAGGCCTGTTTGGCCACCTAGCCCCCGTGAATGTAGCTCAAAGCTCAGAGCCCAGGGTAAGGCGAGCGAGCGTTTGGAGACGGCACGACGGTGAATGTGAACGCGCCAGGCGGCCGCAGCCGACGCCATAGCCACAGCGGTCCCCGGTGAGGTCAAGGGGTCGTGCCACCCCACGGCGTTTGTGCCACGGCGAGGGGTGGCGGTGTGGGGTGCAGCGAGGCGGTTGCTGCCGCCGGGTTGATGTGCGCAGCTCGTGACCGGGGCAGCGATGTTTTGCACGAGCGAGATTGAGAAACAAAGAATTCAAGGGCTTTGTATTTCAGCTCTTTCTCTGTAGAAACGCGAAGTCGTGGAAAGTAAAGGTTTTAACGTCTTACAAGAGAGTACTTCCGAACAAGTTTTTAAAAACACATTTTTGTAAGATAATGTGCGTTGTGAATTTGCTTGCCTATAACATAGAGCTCGTTAAACAGTGACGTTTTTTGCCTTTTCAGTGACGATAAACGCTAAGACCAAGGCGATCTGGTTGAATCAAGGGCTAAGAAGGAATATCACGAGCGTTTTGTAGATTTAGAGTTCGTTGTATCAGCAGCTTCTCGATGCTAACTAACTGAGATCCTGCGGAACAGATACAGCTTCGTGACACTCTGCCATGAAATGCGGTTTCTGTAAATACCTTTTTAAAAACAAAACTCCTATCTACTTTTGCAACTCGTCTCCACTGTGTTGCCTGAGGCTACTTTTCATACAAGTTATAATTCCTATTAGCCAGGACACTTCCTCGGAAGAAATGCCACTCTCCTGCATCACATTTCTTGTCCGCACGTAGCTCTTATGCAGGCCTTTTTGGCCACGTTTAAATTCTTTCTCTCCGAGTTGAGCGACGTTTGCTGGGACTGTTTCATTATCGCGGATGACCCAAACCCTCACCCTTACCCTCTTCCTTGCCACGCAGTTTTCTGTGAATATTTTATGTTACTCTCCCGTTTTTTGGGGCCTGGAATGTAGGATACTCCGTTTATTATTTTGGTTTTAACGTGAGTTCCGCGCTCCGTTCCCGGTGCCTGCCTGCACACACGGTCACTCTCAGAAACAGAACTGGCCTGGAGATGCTGGGCAGGGCCTTTCCTTGTTGGCTTTGATCTAACGCAGAGAGTGGCCAGTGCTCCTTGGCGTGCCTGGTTGGTGTACTTTACTCTGCAAGATATTTACATGGGCGAGCTTCACTTGCAGCTGTGGGCTCGTGTCTCCCAGATGTTTTTTTGGATATTCAGCCTGCATAGTCATCATCAGTGTGGATTTGTGCACAGCTGTATCTCTGGATTAGATTTGGCACAAGTTGTCTGGGTGGGCCTTCTTTGGGACTTGTGTAAAGTGGCCGTACGGGGTGTCGTGTAACCCAAGGGGCTCAGACAGTTATTGTCCTGAAAATAATTTTTTGGAAGAGGATTTTGAAAGCGTTTCTCATTGAGCCCTGCCTCTTGAGTGCGCTTCACGTTTAGCGAGTAGGGCACTGCAGCTGGGTTTTGAATCGAATCTATTTGAATGTTAATAAATAGATTGTTTCAGCAGTGAATATGTAGTGTCCGTTATACCACATAGAAGTGGCAAATTAAAGGAATCGTTGGTTGCTTGGGAAATTATTGAGCTTTGCAACAAACAAAAACTGAAAGATCAAGATAAAAAAGCGATCTTGTATTGGCAGTTGGCAGTGAAAACATTGAATCATTCTTTTTAGACAGATTTTATTTTGGTAATGCAGCTGCCAAATAAACGCAACCAGAGAAACGCAGATCGTTAGGTCATGCACATCGCGCATTTACATTCGTAAATAGATTTCAAAAAGTCGCAGTGAAAATCTACACCAGCCGTGAACAGAACCAAAAGCCTTTATACCCCCTTGAGTCAAAGGAAACATACAGAGAGAGCGCAATCGAGGAAGTGACTCCAAGGGAGTTCACCTGACCAGTGGCGCAAACAGATTATACAATTTTGGGCATGGAAAATAAGAGTAGAAGTGAAAAAAGGCCATTGCCCGGGACGTCGCTCACGATTTTGTTTACCTTTCAGGGCCACAGTGCTATTGACGAATGCGTGGAGTTTTTGATATTTGTCTTTTATGCACCACTGCCAGCGTGGCAGCGTCACACACAAAAAGAGTAGGTTTTCTGAGCTCAGCTTTTATATCAGATGAATACCTAATAACATTGAATGCAACTCAAATAACACTGACACTGAGAACTATGAATTATTTATTTACAAATTAACATTTAAGGAAAATCTCAAACGTGCTCTGTGAAGTTCTGCGGTCGTCTGAACATGACAACCCCAATGGACAGACGAAGAGGTCCGAGAGACGTAAAAGCCACAGCACCGGCACATATCCACGTCGGGTATTTTTATGAGAGCAGGCACAGGTATCGGATTGCGGTGTTTGATTTTTCTCGGTATGGAAGCAGACACCTTTATTGCTTTAATGCGATCGGATGCGGCGGCGTCACTCGTGGCGGGCTCGGCGGCGGACGCTGCGATTGAATCCTCGCCTCAGTGTGAACACTCTCTCATCATCATCTCACGTTGTTTCGTTGTTGCAACGCGCTGACGTTTCAACAAAAAAATGACAGTCGCGATACTTGAAAGTTGAGCCGAGGGTTTTGTAAAAAAAAAGCCACTTTGTGCCAAACCTTCGGCTCTTGTGAACTAGAGGGTTTAGTTAGACGGCCCTTTTATTTAAAATGAGCCAGGCCAGGTCTGATGGGTGTCTTTGTCAGGCATGGCAAGTTGGGTTTTCTTAATTTATCTGGTGTTTTTTTTCCACTCTGTTCTCCTAGAACTTCATTGGCCATGTCTGGCCTGGGCAACCCAAAATAATCCTGGGTGGAGAGATTTGTGGTTCGTGCTTTGCCTCAGAGCAGCCGAGCTCACTTGCAAGGAGGTCCTCAGAGGTCAGGGCAAGGCCCCGAGTCATGCAGACATCGGCAGGCCAGCACTTCAGAGTCATCACCACGTCCATCGCCACCACTAACACCACAGCCACCAACGCCACGAAAATTGCAACCGCCAACCCACTACCACCACCACGAAAACAATCACCAAAAACACCAAAGGCAAAGATCCCCCGTATCGCCCTAACAGCAACTAAGAAGGCTGGTGGCTAGCACTATGTCCGGCCGCCTTTGTCTCCCTAGTTGCGATGTTTACACACCGCACCAGTACTCGTTTGAGGCTGAGTCGACCAAGGGAGGCCCTGGATCAGTCACTGGTGTTGACCGTGAGCAGGAATCGAACCCGGGTCGCTGGGTTCATAGCACGGCACACTGACCGCTACACTACCGCTCTCCGTAAACACCACCAACACTATCACTAACACCACCAAAACACCACCTCCAAACCATAACAACCACCACTAGCATCACAACAACCAACAACACCAATAAAACCATCACCACTAACACGACAATAACCAACACCACCACCACAAACTCTTCCTCCATTAACTCAATGAACACCACCATTACCACTCACACCACTGATACCACAAAAACTTAACACCAGCAAAAACGCCACCACCACTACCAACTCCACCTTCAACACAACCGCAGCACCAGAAGGAATGCTCCTACACGGGTAGCCTTTGCCCGCTGGGCAGCTGCTCATTGCAGTGCGACAATGGAGAGTCGGGTGGAGTTTGGTGGGGTTCGGGTGGACATCTGGGTGTGTTGTTGGGTGTGGAAGCACTTCCTCTGGTGGCGGTGGTGAGCCAGTCGTGCGGTCCCCTGCAGAAGACACCAAATGGAAACGCAAGAGACAGATTTTGCTGAAACTAGTGACGGTGCGATGTGGTTTGTAAGGGTGGGGGGGGAGAGATTTCCTTTCTTTGGTTAATTATTAATTTTGTTGTTGATATATTGTTAATTAAATGAACATGATAATATATTCACTAATATATGTTGAGAGACAATCTGGAGCACAGAGATCGCGACTCAAAGGCGGCAGAGCGTTGTACGGTTTATGAAAGCCCGTGTTCAAGAGACTAGAGCGAGATGGAGTTGTGGAATGGAATGCTGCTAAGTGTGCTTTATCTAAACTGCCATCACGAGTCCAGATTTCCCGTACGTGACACGCGCGCAGCGGGTCCGTCGGTCGGTCGACCAGCGGACCGAGGGCCGACAGCGCACGGAGTCGCTCGATGGGTGGATTTTTCGAAGGATTTTTCTCACCGACGTCACGGCGTTATTCGATGTTTTCACAAAATCGTTCGATTCGAGCAAACGAAGCGGTGACTGTGAAATGAGGAATACTGGAGGTTGTATGCGGGGGAGGTGGAGGGCGCGAGTGGGTCGAATGGGGCCCTCCTACTCCTCGCGCGCCACTTAAACGTTTCTGGATTGTCCTGCTACGTTTGTTCCTGTATTGTTATTGCTTATGTTTCACAATGGGTTCAATGGAAATGTGGCTACTACACAGTTTAAATAAAAGGAGGATTCTTAAAGTGCTGCCGCATTTCATTTGCTCTTGGCTTCTCGTGCCGCGGGGAAACGCCGGCTCCTTCTCATGGAGCGCCCAGCGCGTGTCTCGTCTTTGTGTGAGTGCGTGCTCGTGTGTATGGGGCCGTGTCTGTGTGTGTGTAGTGCGGTGAGATAGTGGTTCGCACACTGCTATGAACCCGACTCCACCCGAGTTAGATTCCCTTCGACGGCCAACATCAGTGGATACTATCTGACTCCTGGGGCCTCCTCTATGTCGTGTCGACTCAGCCTAAAATGAGTGTGGTGCAGTGTGTAAACATCAGTACTGGGGAGACAATAGCGGCCGTGTGTAGTGTTGGCCACACCACTCCTTGTGTACTATGCCCACCTTCACGGGTGCTCGCTAACATCACTTTCTCCACCAGTCTATGGAGGCTACACGGGGATTCTTTATCTATGTGTGGTGCACGTGTCCAGTGTTTAACATGTACTTGTCAGATGTTTTAGATGGTGTTATCATTCCCTGACTATAATTTATTATCCTTGTTCCTCTCTCTGTCTCGGTGAAATTCCAAGCACATGCACCTCACTATGCTTTTTTGTGCAACCGTCAGCTTGTGTCCCATTTTTCTTTGATGATTATGATGATGGCCATTTCATTGTCATCATCCAACAGGTTGATGCTCTGCAGGAGAGCCCTTGCCTCACAATTGGAAGGTTTCCTGCTCAAATCTGGACAGGGGTAAAAGTAACCCATAATCTCATGCTTGGATAAATTAAGCGACCACTTTCTGAGAAAACAGTCTTTGGTGTCCTATGGCGAGAATGGGCTCGACGTTTTCACCACGAGTTCAGGTCTACCGGCAGAGATCAGTATTACTCATTCAAGCGGTGAGCATTAGTCAGTTACCATACCATGTGGATTCACGTAGCATCAAAATGTGACCTCACGTAAAGACACTGTACGGTGTACGACAGCAGTGGGGATCGTTATTTTACGAAGAGACGAGAGTCGGTCACTGGCGGAGGATACAGGACAGAGGCTTGAGCCTCAAACCTAAACGGCGGTGGTCTTGGGGAAGCGAGTTACACTTTTGAATTAATATTGAAGGCATGCACGTGCCGTTCGTGTCGTCAACTGCGGCGGGGCTGGCTGTTCAACACAGCAGGTACGGGCGCAGCAGATCCAACGCGTGGGCCATTTTGGCGAGGAGGAGGTGGTGCCGCCCCATGTCGGCGTCTTCTGCCTCCGCGTTTGATCTGATTTCCGAAGCGAGAGCCCGCTCTGTGCACGCACTGGCGCATGCGATGGCCGGCTGGGAGCCACCAGAAAGGGGTTTAATTTGGCCTCGGCGGGCGCCTCGCGTTACGGTGAGCCCGATATAGCCACAGCCACCTCTACCCGCGTATGTACACACACACGCGCATGTGTGAGTGTGTGTGCGCACACACACGCACGAGCGTGTGTGTGCGCGCACACCGGCACACACTCAACCCGCGCCTCAGCGCTCCATGTATGGCTGGCGGGTTAAAACGCTCGTTCAGGGCCTTCTTCAAGCACACTGAACCAAAAAAAGAAAATGCACGCTAATTAAAAAACTCAATATTTACACTGAGGCGGCGGTTTGCGTGTAATGTTTTTTCCCCCCGTTTAAATTGCACAACACGTGCGCTCACGGCGTGCGTACTCACGACGCGGTGACACGGACGATAACCCACGTTGCAACCGAGACTTTTCCTTTGAAACACCACTCACACGCGAACGTGGAACCCCCCCCTCTCCCGTATATTTGTCGGTCTTGATTTATGTAGCGCGTCATCCACATCAACGAAGGCGTCGCAGGGACACTCCAGATAAAATTAAGTTTACGCGAATGCCAAACAGTCGGACCATACAAAACACAAGGTATGCAGTTTAATAGATATAAGCAAAGCAATGCACCCTTGATCGTTCACTGTACATTTTAAAACCAATGCATGTATCCGTGTAAACAGACGGCGAGTGGGAATTGTTTTCACATCTAAATGAGGAATCACATCACAACGGTAACACATCTCGCGTGTTTTTTGTGTGTTTGATGGCGCTGGGATGTGTGTGGGGGGGCTGGGGAATGTGCCGGTGGCCCAAGCAGCACGTGCTCGCATCAGCATGGGCTGTTTGATTGAGATTATAGCACGAGGCAGCGAGCAGATATTATTGGAGAGACACTTATAGCGAGGACAGCTGTGTGTGCTTGTACTGGCATTACTTTGGTGGGAACAGACTGACAACTGCAGCGCATGTAAGCTCAGCTAGGCAGTGCCCAAAATATCCATCCAGCTCACCTAACACTTTAACTTGCACCTTGTGCGCAGTAAGAGAATCTGTGCAAGAGGCCTCTGCTGATGTGCTCTTCACAAGCGGCACCACAAGCGCTAGGTGGCGTCTCTGCACAGGCAAGTGGGAAGTCATCTTTTTTGTTCTTTCGGTAAAGTCACGTAGAAGGGAAGTAATAAAATAATAAAGATAAAACATAATAAAATAATTCTCACGACGTTTCGGCCACAACGCAAGCAGCCGTCCTCAGGTGAAAACCAGGTCTGTCGGGGAGACAGCGTCTGAATGAAACCGCACACGAGCTTGGAGCGTATATATAAGCTGGGTTGGGAGGGGGGAAAGGGCGCTTCGACAAAAGAATTTGCATATCAAGAGGAATTTAGCATATTTATGGGAAATGCAGGAATGTGATTAGTACTAATTATGCCCGTGTATTATGCAGGATTAGCAGCATCAAAGGGACGGGATATGGGAAATGCAGGTATGTGAATAGTACTAATTATGCCCGTGTATTATGCAGGATTAGCAGCATCAAAGGGAGGGGTAGCATTAATAAAGGGAAGGAGTGTTAATAGTATGTAGCTGCAGTAACTAAAACCAACACGTAATCAACTAAAGTATAAACTACATAGTATCATCAGTATACTAACTATACTCTACAATAAGCTGAGTTACTAACAGTAAGTAATACATTACAATTCTACGTCGTAAAAATTATATAATATGCTTCCATCTAAACTTTATTATCTTACATTACACGAGTCTACACCGTACTATATACTGCCATAGACAAACCCAGCATTAAATTACATACTGTATTGCTACCACAGAGGCAACTTAGTTTGTAGACGCCAGGGTACTATATGTCTGGAACCACATCTTTTACAGACGGGACCAGATCACGGATTTTATGTACTGTGTTGAATCGGACCTGGATCTTGTGTTTAATCAGGATTTTGGAGATCTTTTTGTGACCCCAGCAATGTAGGGTAAGGTGATGGTCTTGAAAGGCTCCTCAACAGGATCCTTCTTGATGGTTGGAGTGATGGCCTTGCGGATTGTGTAGTCGGAGTAACCATTAGCCTTAAGAGCTTGGCGTACACGTTTGAGTTCACTGGCAATGTGTTCCTGGTCGGAAATGCATTGGGCTCTATGGCATAGAGTCTTGATGAGGGAATTCTTCTGGGATGGATGGTGCCTCTGTGGTAGCAGTTACATTGGAGAAACCAAACGACATGTCTCGGACCGCATCTGTGAACATAAAGCAGACTTGAAACACGGTAGGACAAACACCTCAGCCGTGGCAGATCACTGTTACAATTCAGTGGGCTCACATGACATTGACTTCTCCAAGACAGAGGTTCTCTGCAAGCCATCTGGCTACCATGAGAGATTCGTTCATGAGGCGATCCACATATACAAACACAGAGACAATTTCAACCGAGAAGATGGATTCTGGCTTAGCAATCATTGGAAGGACGTAATAAACTATTTCGGATCTTAACTGATTGTGTTCACGTTTACGGTGACTTTAAGACCGCGTTCCACTCACTGGCATTGTAATCTCCGCAGGGAATGGATTCTTTGCTCCGCTGCAAGTTTCCTACCACTACTCACCCATTGACACGACGGTCAATGGTACAGTGTATAATAACGAATAGTATGACATTCATATGCTTAATACAATGTTCAAAGTAATATATAGTATCGTAATTGTATAGTGAATATATAGCAGTGTGATATACATTAGGGTGGGTAGAATAATACATAGTGTTATATTACAATGTATAAGGTTTATAGCAATACAGTATATAATTTAATGCTGGGTTTGTCTATGGCAGTATATAGTACGGTGTAGACTCGTGTAATGTAAGAGAATAAAGTTTAGATGGAAGAATATTATATAATTTTTACGACGTAGAATTGTAATGTATTACTTACTGTTAGTAACTCAGCTTATTGTAGAGTATAGTTAGTATACTGATGATACTATGTAGTTTATACTTTAGTTGATTACGTGTTGGTTTTAGTTACTGCAGCTACATACTATTAACACTCCTTCCCTTTATTAATGCTACCCCTCCCTTTGATGCTGCTAATCCTGCATAATACACGGGCATAATTAGTACTATTCACATACCTGCATTTCCCATATCCCCTCCCTTGGATGCTGCTAATCCTGCATAATGCACGGGCATATGTAGTACTAATCACATTCCTGCATTTCCCATAAATATGCTAAATTCCTCTTGATATGCAAATTCTTTTGTCGAAGCGCCCTTTCCCCCCCTCCCAACCCAGCTTATATATATGCTCCAAGCTCGTGTGCTGTTTCATTCAGACGTTGTCTCCCCGACAGACCTGGTTTTCACCTGAGGACGGCTGCTTGCGTTGTGGCCGAAACGTCGTGAGAATTATTTTATTATGTTTTATTTTTATTATTTTATTACTTCCCTTCTACGTGACTTTACCGAAAGAACCAAGAAGATGAATCCCTGCAGTCACGAAAGCTTTAAATCGAAATTCAAGTGGGAAGTGTGTCGTTACTCCCCGCCTCTGCCGGAGATTGTGTCGATCCTCCCACAACTTCACCGCCTCTTATTCATTGACCGACTTAATGTCGTCCATCGAAGTGAGGTCCCTCTCTCGCCCACAGCTTAAGACGATTTTGGGTGTAGGGTTGCCACCTTTAGTTTTCTCAGGACCGTCCTTCTTGACTTAAAGCTTT